ATATGCTTTGTAAGCACTCTACCACTGAGCTGGATGCTGCTTGGATTCTGCATTTCTAACCAGCTCCTGGGTTACCGCCAGTCCACATACCACGCAGGAACAGCCAGCTCTTCCGTGGTACTCTGAACTTACTCAACTTTTCACTTTAACAAGATCCCCAGGTAATGGCTATACACCGCCGTGTCTGAGGTGTGCTGCCAGCCTTGGGAGCTTGGAAGACACCCGCATCCCATCAATTAAATCAGAAAACCTGGTGTAGAGCAAGGCAATGGCGTTGTTGTCAAAGCTTCCCAAGCTTCCAGTTGAGAACCAGCACTCTAAAGAGAGAGGGAGTTGTCAGGAACCCTTAGGGCTGAAGAGGTGAAGAGATGAAAAATGATGCCTTGATTTATAGGAGATGTTCCATCCTCCAGAATGTTTCCAAAGCATTACCTTGTATGGCTCTTGTGATGCATCTATAGAGTAGAAAGGGTTTGAGCGGTTTTGCCCAGCCGTGAGAGAAACTGAGGTACAGAGGAATTGACTTGTTCTAGAGCAAGGGGCAGCTGTGAAAGCAGTGTCACAGTCCCTCCTCCTCCTTGGGTACCTTTTGCCTGCTCACCTCAGAAAGTCTGCACATCCAAACCTCAGGGAGAAACAAATAAACCTTTCTGGGGTACAGCATCCTTCCGTCAAAAATTTCCAATCCTCTGTGGTCAGATTAATGATAATGAAATGTGGTCTGTCCTTAGCTTTGGGGTACACAGTGGTGAAATATGGAAGCAGAAGTAGGCTCAGGAAGGATGCAAGGTCCCCAGCTCCCTCTCAGCCCCCTCCCTTGTGTTCATGGTTGGAAGGAAGTTACTAATGATGGTTACTATGGTAACCACATCTGTATCAATGCCCATCCACATGAGATTTGCTTACCCCACCCCCAACCCCCAACTGTAACAAGGTCACAGAAAAAGCAAGCCTCTCGCCCAGGGTTTAAAACTTCCTAGAAGGATGTTGGCCAACTGCTCTTGTACCCCAGCCTTCCATGAAAGGGCCTGCTAAATGATGGGTGGGGGTGGCCTTAGAGAGAAGGTCTGTTCTCCCAGTGGCAGAAACCCTTCTTCTGGATCCCACCTGTGTGCCCACTCCCCACTTCTCACTCTCTACTTTCAACGGCTTGTCTAGCTTTTTCAAGGCTGGTCACACCCCTGTGGACCATTCTGTGCTTTGTGGAAACAGGCTCAAGTCTGCAGCTTGGAGCTGTTGCTCAATTTGAAACATAAAGACTCATTGCACGGAGCTAAATTTTCTCCTTTCGTTCAGGCACACAGGGAGATTCTTAGCATGTCCCCAGCAGGTGTATGGGAACTCCCTTGCTGCTCTCTGGATCCGGGGAGGGGGCTTCTTTGCACAAAGCCACCATCTCTGCTCCTGGCCCCCTCTCCCTGCCCCTGAGTTTACTCTTTCTTCTCTCTTCCTCTCCTGATTGCCTGGGACTGCTCAGAGAGTTCTTTCTTGTCCATCCTAACCCCAAGGTCCCTGGGAAAATCACCTCTATTCCATTACATCATCAATTAGTAGTCCAAAACCAAAGTGTTCCTAACATGGAGCAGAGACAAGAACCACAGTGGTGGTGACGAGGGACACATTTTGTTTCCTTTTGCCGTTCTTGTTTGTTTTTTCCAAGATAGGGTCTCACTACATAGATTCAACTAGCCAGTAACTCACTTTGTAGCTCAGGCTTATATTGGCAAAGTTAGTGGCCCTTCTCATCAAGGGCCCATCTCCTGATCCTCCTGCCTCAGCCTCCTGAGTGCTGCTGGGGGGCCAGCACCATACCTGCAGCACTGGTGCTGTGGAGGCATGTGTGGGTCAGCACTGAAAGTTCATTATTCTTTGGGTGCATCTGTCCAGCAGTCACAGGAAGGGGCACTGTCATTGCTTATTATTATTTATTGTATCATTATTCTCATTTTATATCTGAAGAAACTGAGGTCTGGAGAGGTGATGCTTAGGAGGAGAAACAGGTGTTGATCCCTAGCAGAGAAGGGCCATCCCCTCTGCATTGGGTAGAGGGCCTGGAGAAGCGGCAGAACATCACAGGCTGTGTGAAGCAGGGTCCAGATCAGGGCTTTTGGTAAGGGATGCTACGCAGAGCTGAGTGAAGGCTCTTTTTCCTCATGTGGCTGCCTCTTATTCCAGTTCCCACCAGCCACCTTCTAATACTCCCAGGAAACACACACTCACCCATGTACCTGACCTGGGCTCCTGGCCCCAGCCCCTGTGTCCTCTACAACATGAACCTCAATTCGTGCTCACAGTACTAGCTCTAAGTCCCCCATTCCACCCACCCTGACCTTGGGCTTCTGGAAGCTGCCGATGGTCTCAGAGCTGAGCTCAGCTTCCCACCACACTGCCTAACTCTGAAAAGCCTCCCAAGAGAAGAGCGTAGAGACTAAGGCTTTGTGCTCTTAGTCAAGGGGAAGCTGCACCTAAGCAGTGGGATAACTGTCAGGTCACAGCAGAAAAAAAAAGTCACTAGGCGCCAACTCAGCGGATAGTCGCCAACACCTCTGCTTCTGTGTCCAGAAAGCTCCAGCTCACCCCACCTCACCCCAGCCGGCCAACAAGCCCCACCCTTTTGTGAATTTCCGACTCTCCCCAAGAACTTTGTAGAACATCCTAGAAGAAAAGACAACTGCCTCATCCCAGAGGAACCCAGTAATCACCTTTCTTTGCAGACAAACATAAATGCATAATTCATCTGATGCAATTCTCTCTGCACGATATTTATTGAAGCATTTTCTCCAGGAAGCATGGCCTCCAAGGTTATTTATTTGGGAATTAAGACCTCAGGGGCACTAGGAAGAGAGGCAAGAATGATCCTCCCACCCCATGCTACCCAGAGAGGCCAAGGCAAATGCTTCTATGTTGTTCTTTTGTTAAGTCTGCAACTCCTTATGCCCTTGAAGAAAGTGACGACCTTCTTAATGATCCAAGTTGGACTCCTCTATGGGGACCTTGAGCTCCTGCTGCCGATCAGATTTGGAACTTGATTTTAGTGGTTGAATAACATTGCCGTACAGGGAAATCACCTGGGAGCCTTAAAAAAGAAGTCACAATCTTAGTTCACACCCCAAGTGTACCAGAGTGTCTAATGGTGAGAGCCAGACATCCATATTTTTTTAATGATCCTCAAGAGATTCCAATATGCAGTAAATTCTGGAACCATTGCCTTAGGCCTGTCTGAGTTCCCTCCCATAAGCGCTAGCATGGACCAGTGACCTTGGCCGTAGACTCGGCTCAGCACTAGTGTCTGGGTCATTCGGGCTCCAGCTCTAAGAACCTATATGACCTCTCACTGCTCATGTGATCTTCAGAGAAGTCAGGCTTTGACGTTCAGAGCTGGTTCTGATCACTGCGTTTTTCCATGGGTCCTTTCCCATCTTGTACACAGATGCTGACAACTGGGCTCCCACAATACCGATATTTGTGACGTCCTCCGAGTAGACTGTGTGGTTTGCATACAGAACTCCCACTTAGCAGCTGGGGAGACGGCTGCAGAAGCAGAGGACCAGAGTTGGATCCCCAGCATTCACAGCAAAGCCATATGTGATTGTACTTCTCTGTAACTCTAGAGCATGGAGGGAGAGACCGGCAGGTCTCTAAACTCACTGGCCAGTTGATCTAGCCAAAACAATCAGATCCAGACTCAGTGAGAGTCCTTGCCTCAAAAACTAAGGTGGAACATGATAGAGGAAGACACACAACATTGACCTTTTGTCTTCATGTGTGCACACATGGGTGCACACAACCCACACACACGTTCATAAGCACATGCTCTCTCTCTCTCTCTCTCTCTCTCTCTCTCTCTCTCTCTCTCTCTCTCTCCCCACACACACTTTCATAAGCACATGCTCTCTCTCTCTCGCTTTCTCTGTCTCTCTCTGTCTCTCTGTCCACACACTTTCATAAACACATGCTCGCTCTCTCTCTCTCTCTCTCTCTCTCTCTCTGTCTCTCTCTCTCCAAAATTCTCATGCAAGTCACATGGCTATAATCTTACCACATGGAAGGCAGAAGCAATAGAGTCATAAGTTTGAGGCTGGACTGCACGGTGAGACATTGTCTCAAACAACAAGCAGGACTATTTAGTTATAATAAGCCAGTCTGCAGAGAAAATGGGTTAAATCATTTTCTTCCGTGGTTCCCTTCTGTCTGTTTCTCAGGATGGTCATAGCAAAGTACCACAGATTGGGCAACCTAATACAACAGAAATGAAAGCCTTTCTAGTTCTCGAGGCTAGAAGTTTGAAATCAAGGTGTGTGTGTGCGCGTGTGTGTGTTGGCGTGCGCACGCGCGCGTGTTTGTGTGTGTGTGTGTGTGACACGTGCACGTGTGTGTGCATGTGTGCTTGGGGGGAGAGAATCTGCTGCATGCCTCAGCTTCTAGAGGCTGTAGCAAATCTACACTAGTCTTTAGCTTGGAAATACGTCACTCTGATCTCTACCTCTGTCTTGCCTGTGCCTTGACACCTGTCATAACTAGTGACATCTATGAAGATCTTCCTTCCAAATAAGACCACACTCTAAGGTTCCTGGTGGATGCTGGAAGAATGCTCTCCAACTCTCTATACCTTCTCAACCCCAGAAACCCAACTTCTTCCCCCGCCCCGGGCCTGCCCCCTGCTGACAAGCCTGCTGTAAACCACACTTCTCGAGGGACCTTCAACACTCAGTGCTTGCTCAAGAACAGCAGCCGTCTCGGCCAGCTGACCAGATGTGCACTCTTCCAGTGTTCTGTGGCTGCTGGCTGAGTATTCCAAGGACACTCGTTATTCATCTTGCACATATACCTGCAAGCACCCTGAGGAGAAGGACCTATACTTAACACAACTGGCCAAGATACCTGTTTGCAGACTAGCAGGGCAAAGTTTTCCACAGAGTTCGTGTCTTCCTCCTTCCCCTGGTCTTACTATTCAGCTCTAAGGTTAATTCTTTTTTGTTCGTTTTCATCTGTCTTTACAGGAAATGGGTACATTGAAGGTAAAGAGCTAGAGAACTTCTTCCGAGAGCTGGAGAAGGCAAGGGAAGGCTCTGGCATGGTAAGTGTGCGCCCCACTCCCATTTGTTGTTGCTTGTTTTCTGTCATCTTCACCTATCTAGGCTTGAGACTGGTCTGTCTTGTGCTGCCTCCAGTCAGCAGACCTGGGGTCTCTCTGGTCTTGACATTTAAGATCCCCCTCATTTGTAAAGATATAAAGAAAAGCTAGGTTTCCCCCCAAGAACACTTCATCTCAATCTCCTTGGGTGTCATAGAGAGATAACCATCATGAAAGCCAAGAGTTGACAAATCCCCCAAACTACACAGGTATGTGTTTATGTGTGCATGTATAATCTTTTCCTGGGGATGAAGTCCAGAGACTTGAGGGTTTATAATTCAAGATGAGGTTCTCAGAAGACCTCAGATGCCTGCAATCTAAATAAAAATGTCTCAGCCCCCACACTGTTGAAATTGAGGCTGGACAATTTTTGTTGGGAGGGACATCTTTACATTGTATTGTGTTTGGCCAAACCCTTGCATCCACCCATGAGATAGCCAAGTCATGGCAATAAACATGTCCTAAGTTGGAGGTGATGGTGAACACCTTTAATCCCAGCACTTGGGAGGCAGAGGCAGGTAGATCTCTGAATAGTCTACATTGTGAGTTCCAGGTCAGCCAGGGCTACATAGGGTGGCCCTGTCTTAAAAAAAGATGTCCTAGACATTATCAGATGTCCCCTGGTGGAGAATACGAAGCAGAATCCAGTATTCTAGACCAGCAAAGGCTGGCTCCTCTGTAAAGACTTAGGGGAAAGCTGAGGGCTTCTCAGAAGCCTCTCCTGAGCCCTGACCATATTGTCTGCCGTTGGTATGGAGGAGTCATGAACTCTGAACTGTACACAGTGACTCCAGATCATGTCCCAGTCCCTATGATAGGAATGTTATTTCTTCCAGTACCAACCTGGCCATGCTGAGTTTGCTAAAACCTCCTGGGAGAGCCATGTGAAATATCAAAACGCTAAAGTGACTGGAGTATATAGAGCCCACTCCCTCCTGTGCACCCACCCCCGGCTCCTTTGAGGGTCTCTCTCTTGTCTCCTGCTTCCTGCCCACTGTCTCATTCACTACTTACTAGTAAATCGGGGATCTCTTAAGAGAAATTTGCTGCGTATGAGCTCCAGGTTCAATGCACAGCAAAGTATCCCAGCAAGAAACATGTCAAAGCCACAGGCTTACGAGAGCTGGAGGGGATGCATGGATGTGTTTGTCAACAGTTCTTTCATCATCCCTCATTGGTGGGATGATGTGAGCACGGGTTACAGGAATCACAGCTTCAAAACCGACCCTGAGATCAAGGACTATGCAGAAGAATGTATTTAATCGAGAGTTCCAAATCTAACGATCCTTTTCTTAGTCATTCTCTTCTTCAGCTGGCATGAGGGTGGTTGACGAGTATGTCCATAGCAATCCCAACTGCCATCATCTAGGACTGGTAGGAAACACTTGGACTCTGGGAGCTGGAGCTAGGCTTGAAATTTCTAGCTCTATCTACCTGGGTGATCTTGAGGGAAGTCATTGCATCTTGGATTCCATTTACATATGAGGATGCAGGGACGACCCACCCACTGAAGACCGTGGTAAACCTCTAATACGCTGCCTGCATTTATGCTAAGTACTTGGCATCGAACCTTACATATTTGTCAATATACATGAATACTGACTGACAAATATTAGTAAATGGAGATCAGGTTCCAAAGGCCAAAGGTGATACAGAAGGGATCCAGAAAAGCTCTCAGAATTTGTAGCATTGCTCTTGGGCCAGTTCCAAGAAGCACGAAACCCCAGTGGAAATGCCCAGGTAACTGAAGTTGAAGACCAGATGTGCAAGAGGTGGGGGCTTGCAACACTGACTGAAGATAAGAAAGAGCTCCTTGGTGCAGGTGGCAGCTCAGCTGCACCCCAGGCCAGGGAAAGGTTCCAACTGCCAGGAGCCCACTGTGTTTAAGCTGAGGGGTGATGGGCTAAAGGGACTCTTAATAAGTAATCTATTTTTCTATCCTTAGAATAGTTGAGTGGAGGATTTAAATTTTCCCTCAGCTGCGTGATGTCCTCACATTCCTCCTGGCATGCAACCAGATAGGAACACTGCAGAATTGCGAGCATGTCTTTGAAGGAGAAAACGAGTGGTTCGTTTTGTGTTGGTGGAGTGGTTCGAGCCTATTGTGGAATGATGGTTCGAATGGGGGTATGCTAAAAGCTGTAACTCACATCTGAGTGGTGGGATTAAGTCCAAGCCCCTCATGGAGCTGTGGGTTGACCCATCTCAAAGGTCAAAGGGTGCATCTAATCACGTGGTACAGAACATGCCCATGTGTCCTGTCTCCCTTGATAATCATGTGACTGAGATCTAAGGCAGAGACTGACCCTCTGAGCTCTAGCACCTCCAGTTCCTGAACCATGTGTCCAGGACATGAAATGACCCCCAGCCCTGCTTCCCGGACAGCCTCACCTCTACATAACCTGGCAGCAAGATCAGCCTCTTTTCTCTGTCCACAGATGTCAAAGAGTGACAACTTTGGGGAGAAGATGAAGGAGTTCATGCAGAAGTATGACAAGAACTCAGATGGGAAAATTGAGATGGCAGAGGTGAGAGCCGTGGAGCGGGCTGAGGGCCGTCGTCCCTGTGCCTACCCCATGCTCGGGCACAGCCTGAAACAGCCCTGCCTGAGCAGCTGAGCCAACCGAACAGATCACGTGGTGCTTTCTCTGTGTGTCACTCAAGGAAAGAGGGAGCAACAGGCGTTGCAAATGTGTGATAAACCAAGCTTAAGACAGTGGGAAGACTGGTTAGCAGGAGTATGCATGCCTCACCTAAAGGTACCCCAAAATCAAACATAACATGTATTTTATGTGGATCATTTACACGTATAACATACATTCCACATAATTTCTACACGCTTACATATACACACATGCACACACATACATACTCATACTTACACATAAATATGTATGTCTACTCTGATCGTTGGTTTGTGACCCGTGGTCAAGGTCAGTATGTTGGTGGTAGCATGAATTAGAGCCTAGCTCTTCCAGGATATGTTGGTTCAAATGCTGCCATAGACCAGGTGCTCTAGAAGCAAAGCCTGAGACAGAGATACCTTGGCTGTATTCTCTGTATGCTGCAGAGGAGAATAGGAAGAGAGGATGATTGCCAAGGGCAGAGAGGGAGGTAAGCTGGGAGGCCACCTCTGCCTTGGCCTGTCTCAGATAGAACTCATTTGTGCCATAGATTGTATTTCACGTGGAGGCCCATGTCAGTAAGTCACTGGATACAGGCTGCTCCCTCCAAGGGCTGAGGGAACCATAGACCTTCCCTGGCAGGGCAGCTCTGGTTTAGCTGAGGGCGGTTCGCCCGCGGGGGAAGTTGTGTCCTGCAGGTGGTCACCCTTCAGGCTACTGAGGATTGACACCGTAACCTAATTTAAGAGGCTGGGCATGATACACAGATCCATGTTGTAAATCTTGGGGTCAGAAGACATTTTCAAGGGTGCTACTAAATGAATAAGGCTACAGTCAGGGTTGGCTCTGGTTCTTCTCTCAGCTCTGTCCCCTGCTCCAAAAAGCCATTGTCTTCCCCAATCTTGGAGCCAGATGGCTGCAGACATTCCAAAAATCACGTCCAGATACAACCACGTCTGTTTGCGAAGAATATCCCACTTAAAGTGCAAGGAAACCTTTCCCACAATCCACAGCAGCCCTCCTCTCACTTCTCATTGGCCAGACCAAGTCACATGCCTATTCCAAAGCCAATCACTAGTGAGGGGAGTGGGATTCTCTCAGGTAGGGGAGTTAAACCAATTTGCCTTAGCCCAGGGATGCTGGGAGAGAAGCAAGTGGGGTGGAGAGCAGTTAGGTGGGCTGCCAGCTGTGTTGGATGCAAGGTGGGTATTTGCAAATAAAAACAAAGAATGAAATTGTTAAAGTATTAATTTGCAGTCAATAAAACAGCATCCATTTGGGATGTTACCTTCTTCCAGTGTGTAGACTTTGGTCCATGCCATTACCATCACAATCAAGGTAGCTGTAAAGGCTTCCCTCCCTTTCCTGAAGTAAGGCCCATCATCCCAGGCATCCACCCATCTGCCTGCATCAGTCTGCACCTTTGAAAAGGTTTTAAACACTTGGGGAGGATCATCCACTGAGTGTCCCTTTTAGTCTGGGTGGCCACATTTTAAAGGAGGGCTCTTGCTGTCTGTCAAGCTGCCCCTCACCGTAAAGACTGGTGTAACCCAGGATGTCTTCTTAGAACCTTCTATCCCTTACAAGGGCTGCCAGCCCCCTGTTCTCAAGGAAGGAAATGAAATAGAGCGCAATGTGATTTCCATACCGCCTGTCGGCTGGCCATTTTCCAGCCTTCTCGTGGGAAAGCCTGCTCCATTCCCTGAGGCCCCCTCTCATCCTGATGTGGTTTTCTGTGTTTCCCAGCTGGCGCAGATCCTGCCGACTGAAGAGAATTTCCTTTTGTGCTTCAGGCAGCATGTGGGCTCCAGCGCTGAGTTTATGGAGGTGAGCTTTCTCTCTGCTCGCGGAGACCTACCTTCCTCTTGTATTCCTGCGCTAGCATCCTCCGCGAGACCCTGGGAGATTCTAAATCCCGCAGGGTTCTACTACTTGAGGTGTGGTCCCTGTACTGGCAGTGGCAGCAGTGTCGCCTGGGTCCTCGGAGACTCTCTGCCACACTGAAGCAGGACTCATGCCTCCATAAGATCCCCAGGTTGGAAAGATCCAGTTCTTAGGCTGGAAAAGTCATTCTTTTTAGTGCGGTTTGCCCAAACATCAGATATGGGTTTCATTTCATGGTGCTTTAAAGGATTTGCTCCAGTATTTTTGAGGTGGCAAGATTCTATTTGCCTGTGTTGAAGAAAAGTGGTACATCTTCAGCATGTGTCAGGGGGCGTTGTTTGCAAGGGTCCATGTTTTTCTGTCTATAGAAAATGGATATGGGGCTAAAGATGGAGCTCAGTGGTAGAGTGCTTACTTGCCCAGCATATGCAAAGCCCTGGGTTCCAAAAGGAGAAGCAGGAAGGGGGAGGAAGGATGGGGGGAGGGGGAGGAACTAAAGAAAGGAGAAAAGGGAGGACTGTGTCTACCCTTTCCTTCATTTATACAGATGTGGAGATTGGTCTCCATTCCATCTCTGGTCTGGGAGTGGGGATGCAGAAAGCTTTCAAGAGCCAGAGATGCTTAAAAAGAAGTGCCCCCCCCCGCCTGCCCCACCCCGTGTGTGTGTGTGTGTGTGTGTGTGTGTGTGTGTGTGTGTGTGTTTCTCTCCATGTGGTTGACATGATGATATATTCTTGCATGCTTTTACCTTTCTAAACCCATGAATATCTGCAGAAACAGCTCAGCCTCACTCTCACACACACCTCCTGGGATCACACCGCCCCCCTAGAACCAAGCCTTCCTGGGGTTAGCTAGTCTTTCCATTCTTAGCATCTGCAAACATGAAATGGTCCCTCAGAAGCCACGAAAGGCTGTGTTCCCCCCATAGACTGCATCCTGCGCAGCACAACACTTAACATCTAATTTTAGGAACAACTCAGGACTTTTTTGAGATTCTACAGAGCCCAGGTCTCTTTAACTCCTTTCCACTGATGGGAAGGGAAAGGAAGTTGAGAGCTTAGAGTCCAGAATTGGCATAGAGTTTTATATATATATATATATATATATATATATATATATATATATATATATATATATACACACACACACACACACACACACACACACACACACACACACAAGAAAGACCCTAATTCAGTGGTTCTCAACCTTCCTAATGCTGCCACCTTTAATAAAGTTCCTCATGTTGTGGTGATCCCCCACCACACAATTATTTCATTGCTACTTCATAACTGTAGTTTTGCTACTGTTACGGATTGTAATGTAAGTATCTGATTAATGCAGAATATCTGACATGGGACCCCCCCCCCAAGGGAGTTGTGATCCACAGGTTGAGAACTGCAACCCTAAATTGTTCCTAAGTTCTAACACTCTTGTCAACATGAGATGCACCTATATAGAGGTGGTGTGTGCTGGAGGGAGAGTGTAAGGAAGAGATTTGACCTTTCTGTCCCCTCTCAGGAAACCCAGTGTGGCTGGTGTTTGAGTGTGGATTTGGAGCCAGGGATATGATGGGCAGAAAAGTCAAAGGAACAAAATTTGAAAGAAACCTAAAAACATCCAAAACACAAAAATAGACCAAAGACTTAGGGGAACAGGGTTCCCTGGGACTCTTTGCCACAGACCCAGGCAGTACCCTCCCTGCCCTCTCTCCTCATCCCCTACCTGATGGTGTCAGAGCACTTGTATATGGGACCACGTGTTCTCAGGACATGGTAAGTTACCTGTTGCTATGTAACAAATTATCCCCCCCCCCTTCACATTTAACACCTAAAGCAACAAAGACTTGTTATCTATCAGTGTCTGTGTTGAGTCAGCATCCCGGGTGGCTCTGATCTAAAATGTCTCGGGAACTCAGTCAGGATGCCAGCTGGGCTGTAGAGCTGAAAGGCTTGACTGGAGCTGGAAGATAGCCCATCTCCATGGTGGCCAGACTCTTGTGTCACCCCGCTGACACTGTCTCTATGAAGGAGTTAAAGAATGCTGTTGCTGTGGTCAGCAAGCTGGGCTCTGGTTTTTACGAAGTTCTAATGCCTTGACCAAATAAGAAACTCAGAGCAGAGTGGGGAGCGGGGCAGGCCTAGGTCACGTGCTTACCCTGGAGTTGGGGGTCAATAGTCCTTGAACCTTATGTATTGAGAGTGGAAGATACGTGATTTTCAGAGAGGGGGGAGGGGGCTATGAGAAAGGTAAAGGAGTGGCGTTTGGGGGTCTTGTCAAGTCTGCGTCATCGTTGAGCATGGCTACGGAATACATGATGGAGGGATGGAGGAGTGAGTAACAGTAACCAGGCCTGTTCCTGCTCCTTCCCGAGTTGTCCTCATACCCCTGCCTCATCCCTCACTCTTCATCAATAAAAGGAGACCTCAAACCCAAAGCAAACCTAAGATCCATCAGGCCCTGGTACATCCCCGATCCAAGCTGCCTGCTTAGCACTCAGAAAAAGTCAACCCTAGTTTACAGCATGTTCCAAAAGAGGACCCAGAGGCCAGTGGAATGGCTCCATGGGTAAGGGTGATTGCTGCCAAGTCTGATGACCTGAGTTCAAACTCCAGAGCCCACATGTTGAAAGGAGTTCTACAAGTTGTCTCCTGGCCTCCACAGGCAGGCAGTGATGTGCAATCCATACTTCTCCCAACACACAGAACAAACAGCAAATACAGAAGAAGACCTAAACCTGTAGCAATAAAGTAAGAGATCTTGTCCAGGCAGTTTCCCCCCTTTTCTGTGTAACCTTGACTGAAAGACTCTTCTTCATTTCCTTCTCTGTGGCCTTGAAGGGACTGACTAAGCTATCTCCATGTCCTGTGGTAGAGTGAGGATGCTAACATCTTAAAACACCAAGACGCTACCTGTCCCCTGACAGAGAATGGGGGGAGGTGGCAGGGTTTGATACGGTTTTGTGATTGGGGTGACATTCCCATTGCAGGCTTGGCGGAAGTATGACACAGACAGAAGTGGTTACATCGAAGCCAATGAGCTCAAGGTATGATGGATGGGCCTGAGGGGTAAAGGGGAGGACATGGAGAATGAGAGCGAGGCCAGAGTCTTGGTGGATCTAAAGAACCAGGGAGGAAGGGGATGTTGGGTGAGGAACATGGGTTTGTGGTCTCCTTATGGTTACTTGATCCTGGCACAGATGTTGGCCTTCAGAAGTCCTGCACCAGCAATGGGGAGCTGCAGGACCAGGCGTCTACCCGAACCACACTCCGCTACCTCCTAGGGTCCAAGAGTGTACCCGTGAGGAAATTCCAGAAGATTGGCTATCTAACTTAAATGTTCACCTCAATTCCTCTGGGAAATCAGTGATCCTTGGGCACAGCTGGGCCCTGTGTACTGAGTTCTGAGGGGGAAGTCAAAGTCAGTCTTTATTATCTATTCTGTGGGCCAGGTTGTATGTACCCAGGAGCCACTCAGAGGCCTCTATGGTCATACCACAAATAATAAGGGGTTAGGGAAGTAAGAGAAGTGTAAGCTATGCGTTGGTAGAGCTCAAAGATGAGCTCTGATTGTCTAAATGAATATATAAGTGAACGGGTGAGGGGCTGAGTGAGCAAGTCAGGCTCTGAAGAGGCCTTTGGTGTTCCAGGGGTTCCTGTCCGATCTCCTGAAGAAGGCCAACCGGCCCTATGATGAGCCTAAGCTCCAGGAGTACACCCAAACCATAGTAAGTGTTACCCTTCTAGTGTGGGGCATGAGCCCCTAGCCCCGGGGGTTCTAGTGTGCAGGGTCCTTTCTCTGCTGGCATTTCAGGCCTATATGCAATGACTCGGGATAGCAGGTGCAAGTTCATAGCTGTGTACATCTTTGGCGGTCCTCACTGAGTTGACTCCCGAACCACAGTGATATTGGGGTAGGGGGTTCTCTGTGTCTATGGGAACTGATCGAGCTCCAGGAGAAGATGAACCTCGAGAGGGTGGGCCTTCAGTGATGGCTGTGGTGTCTCCTCACCCCTGGAAGGGGATAGACAGCTGGTGCTGAATCCTCACTGTCTTCCCCCCGTGACTGACTTAGGCCTCGCTGATCCCTAGCTTCAAGTGACCCCGGTGGAAAAGATGGCGGGTGGAGGCCGTTATGTGAGAAGGTCAAACAGCTAACCCAGCCACCTCTTTCTGTTCCCAACAGCTACGGATGTTTGACTTGAATGGAGATGGCAAATTGGGCCTGTCAGAGATGTCCAGGTGAGTACCTTTTTCATCCCTGGTGTCACTTTGCAGGCTCCTGTGCTGCTGTCCCTATCTGAGCCCAAAACAAAACCAGCTAGAACTAGAAATCTTGATGCCACACTTTGTCCATTTCTTTTATTTATTTATTTTTAACATCCCAACCAACTCCTGATTATAAAGTGCTCGGTGATTGTTTCCATGGCTACAGATGCTGCCTCTCTATCCTGCTCCCCATCTAAGTGGCTGCTGCCCATGGCATGTCCTCTAATCTCCGCTCTAATGTTGTCTTTCCAGACTCTTGCCTGTACAAGAAAACTTCCTGCTGAAATTTCAGGTACAAACGTCTCTTTGCTTTCTTTTGGCTCCCTCCTTCCTCTCATCTCTCTGAACTTCAGCCTTCTGCCTTCCTTTGCTCCAACACACACACACACACACACACACACACACACACACACACACACACACGCACTCACGTGTGCACGCGTGCACGCACACACAGTCATGTAGACTTACATGATTTCTTACACATTTTCCCTCACTCCCCCACACTTATATTTTGGGGCTTCGTTTCTTTCTCTAATTCTTTGGTCTTTCCAAAGGGTATGAAGCTGACCTCAGAAGAGTTCAATGCCATCTTCACATTTTATGACAAGGTAAGAGGGAACAGTATGGGGTGGAAAAGCAGAAGCCCTGTCACTGTAGTGGCAATGGCTAGAATTCCTTGGTCGGCAGGAAGAGACTTGCTTTCGAGAGGGGTCTCTTAGACATGTGGTTTCTTTCTTCTGTTGTGTGGGAAGACAACTGGCATTCTTTGATTCCTGACTTACAGGGGCCCACAGATTTGACTTCTTACAAATGTAATAGAAAACAGTTTTGGGGGGCTGTTTGTTTATCAGTTAAAGGAGGAAGGCTGTGCTCAGAGTAAGGGTGAGGTCATCTTATGGCAGTAGAGCCAGGGTTTGGTTGCTTTGGCTTTTCATTTTTTTTTAAATTGATTTGGTTTCCATTTTGACACAGGGTCTTGCTCTGTAGCCCGAGATGCCCTCAAATTCTTCATCCTCCTGTCTCAGCCTGTTGAGTGCTGAGATGACAGGCTTGGAGGTGTTTATGTCACCGTACATAGCTCAGCCTGTTGTTTCCTGGGACTTTGGGAGTGAGAATCATCTCCTAGCCCTGCTGCAATCTCAGCTGTCCCCCTGCCCTGGTGGCTCTGGTGGTCTCTTTATAATTAGAGAGTTGGAGGTTGACTTAACAGTTAATTCAGTTAACTTTAAGCTTCTGGAACCTCATTTATCTCACAATGCAAATAAGAAACACCACCAGAAAAGGAGACGAGGAGTTTTACTGAACGATTGACTGGTATTGACAGAAAGTGCATTATTTTGTCCTTATGTGGTCTGAACATTTCTCTTTGCACAGAGAAATGGGAAGATTAGCTACTCCCTCCAAACACACACACACTCCTCTCTCTCTCTCTCTCTCTCTCTCTCTCTCTCTCTCTCTCTCTCTCTCCCTCCTTCCCTCCCTCCCTCCCTCTCTGTCTCTGTCTCTGTCTCTGTCTCTGTCTCTCTCTCTCTCTCTCTCTCTCTCTGTCTCTCTCTCTCTCTCTCTGTCTCTCTCTCTCTCTCTCTCTGTCTCATATACACACACACTCTCTTTCTCTCTCATACACCCTCTCTCCCTCTCTCTCTCTCTCTCTCTCTCTCTCTCTCTCTCTCTCACACACACACACACACACACACACACACACACACACACACACACACACACACTCACTCACACCACAGCTTTTGAAATAAAGTGGGGAAAGAGCTGTGGTCAGAGTGCTTGGGGGTTGGAGTCCAGGGCACCGTGCTCACAGCTCTCTGCTGCCCCCCTCAGGATGGAAGCGGCTACATTGATGAGAATGAGCTGGACGCCCTCCTGAAGGATCTGTACGAGAAGAACAAGAAGGTGAGGAACTGAACCGGGGTGGGGGGATATGGGTCCCAGGGCTGGGAGAGGTTGAGAATGAATTCTCTCATCTCTGACCTGCAGTGACAAGTCAGTGGCAATTTGTGGGCTGGGTTGTCCTTTTCAGGTTGACTGATTTAAAATACAAGTAGCAAAGTTCATCATTGTAACCATTTTAAAGAATAGTGGCTGTATCTGACACATCCATCACACTATGTGAGCAGCAGCATGCCAGTAACTCTCATCCTGTAAAGCTGAAACCCCACACCCATAGCAACCCAGCTCTCCCATCTCTTGTGCTGGGCTACAATCTGCATCTGCAGATTTCACTGCTGTGGGTACCACAGAGAAGGGGAATTATATGATTACTCTGTGGTTCGTTTCACTCGGCATGCTGAACTCAAGGCTCGCCCATGTTGGAGCACGCCAGAATTCTCCTCCTTTTAGAGCTGAGTGATAATGGCCTTCCATGTGTAAACCATTTTGTCTACCCATTTTCCAACCATGCCCATGTGTGTTGCTTCTGTGTGTTGGCTGTTGTGGACGATGATTCTGTGAGGCGGTGGCAATGTTTATATAGCCCATCCTGTACAAGTACCAGCCAAAGGGCCATCGTGAAAGACTTTTCAACACAAAGAGAGATTTTGGAGGGCAGAAGCCAGCAGGGGTAAGGACTGTCCCAAATTCATTAACTGCAGAACCTGGGGCTGGGGAAGAGGCTAGAAGGGAATCACTAAGGAGTTTCTCTCAAAGTAAAGGCCGAGAAAACCAGCAGTTTTGTGCCTGGTCCTGCCTCTTTGGAATGCTCCAGAACCCTCCCCTGGTCTCACCCCAAACCCTGGATGGGAGGGATCAGGGGGAAAGGCGACCAGAAGGCAGGAGTCTGCTGCTGCCTTCCTTCACCTGCCAGAAGATGGCTTTCACACAGAAAATGACTGCTGCTTTCTTTAATTAGATGACAAACGTTCTGTAACTTCCAGAGCTGTCCAACTGCCTTGGCTGCCAAATAAGAGCTAAATTTAATGCTCAATTTCAAGAAAAAATTCACTGCAGCCTCTGGGTCCATTTGTCTCTCTTTGCAAGTGTTTTTCTGGTCTTGTGGCTTCACCCTGAGTATCAGCCTTCGTCGATTTCATCCTACATTTACATTTTAATGTAAGTGATAAGGATTCAGACAGTTCCTGGGAAGAAGAAAGCCTTTGCCAGAGCCAGCATTAGAAGTCAGTAAACCTTTTTCCTGACACTGTATCCCAACAGAAAATCATTTATGTGGCCGTATGTGCTCCCGTGAATATTAGGAAGCTGAAAGAAAAACCATCTTTGACTTGAATGAAGCATAATTAGTCTTTATAAGGCCATGCCTAATACTTGAGGCTGGTAAATGCTGCACACATGCATTAAACCTCAGAGTGACCTGCCGTTCGTGGTCCTCAACTCAATGGGCTCTTTCTTAGTTAATATGAAGAACCGAGCATTGAGCTGTACAGGTTGGCCCCAGATGTGCAGACAAAAGCAGAGTCGGGTGCTAGGATTTGGAAGCAACTTTGAAGGTTGGAGAACAGGGTGATAATAAGAGTGTTGAGGTGGGAGCTTTCCACATGTGCCAGGCCCCAGACTTGGCACCTGGGCCTTCAGAGAAGGAATCAGCGAAGGAAAAGAGCTGCATGACTAGATTTCAGCACCTGAGCTCGGAAGGAAAAGAGCCATCTGTGGTGAGCTCACATAATGGGTGCAGCCTCCTTTAATGGCGCCTGCATGGGCTGTGATAAGGTTTCTAAGCAGATTAGTGCTGGAGGCTCCTGAAGGGACTGAACTTCAATGGTTCTCAGCATTCCTAAGGCTGTGGTAGCACCCTAAGGCCTTTCCCAAGCTTTGAATAGACCCTCAAGACATCCAAATTAGGCTGTCTCTCCTGTCATACTTCCCCCTGAAATTTTTTTCAAGTTTGGGGTTGATATGACTCCCCATAGGGGGTCCCTTCCTTGATTCCTAATTGAGGCACATATCCCTCCTCACTGTGTACATGACCTCTCCAGGAATTTCACAACGTGAGGGAAGATGCTCCCCAATCTAGAGATGCTTGCAAAATGCCTTTGGCCGGAGACAGTAGCTTAAAACTAGAACTCGCTGGTTTGAGAGGTTGTCTCCGAACTGTCTAAGAAAAACACTGACAGCTGAGCCCCACGAAAGAGGGACGGAACACAGGTAGACGAGGTAAGCAGGTAGAGTTGGAGGCTCCAGGGACTGAAGCTACTTTTGATGAGGTGATCCAACCTTTTAGTGAGTGGCTTAGCGTCTATCCTTCTGTTTTCTCATCAGCAGAATTGAGATAAGGAACCATCAACCCAAAGGGGGAGTGTATTTTTAAGGTGTCTGCCAGCATTTACCACAAAAAAAAGAATGAGGAAGGGGCCCTGGGGACGTAGCTTGGGGGTACAGTGTTGGCCTAGCATTAGGAAAGTCCTGACCCTAACCCCAACAAGGCAAAATAGTAATAATACTCAGGAGGAGGAGGGGAGTGGAGGAAAGGGGGAGGGAGAGAAAGAGCAGGAGAGGAGAAGAAACAAGAAAGAGACGGCCATTTCCCATTGCTATGGTGACCCGCTGGCCATTTGTATCTTAGACAATTACTGTAAGATGCCTATTTAGTATAAGGACTATCAGGTGTTGGTCCTGTTTGGTTTTGGCCTCCAGTGTATATGGACTATGGGCATATGTTTATGGATTCTCTGCCTTAGTGGTCCCCAAGGACCACAGGAAGGCAAGGAACAAGAAAGCTGGTGAGCTTTGTTGCTAGAGGAGACAGAAGATAAACAAGCCCTCCGTGTTTAAAATGGAGGCAGTTTAGGGACATATGATCCAGGGGGCTTTCCTGACCTCATCTCCCTTACCTGCAGAGACCGCCGTGTTTGCCCTGAGTAAACGGAGTTCTAGGGAGCTGGAGGGGTAGATTTGAGTCATACAGAGGCCATAACTGTCACCACGGCGGCCCCCCTTCCCTGAACCGCTCAGCCCAAGTGCTCAGTGTATTTATTCCCCCACCTGGCCATCACCATGCCTCCTTGAGGCAAGGATTGTTGGCAGTCCCATTTTACAACTAAGGCCGCTCAGCCCCGGAAAGATTGACTCCTCCAAACAGTGCAACCGGTAAGTGAAAGAGAGGACTCTAACCCAGGTCCTGCAGAGTCCATGCTCTTTCATCCGTCTAGGCTGCTCCCCCTAGGGAGAGAAGAAAGGAAGGTCCACACAGTGTGTTTGTGAATGTATGTGCGGCAGTGGGGGAGGGGGGCGGGGGTGGGCAGGGACTCCTTTGGGCGAGGCCGGCGCACACAAAGTCTGCTCTCACCTCTTTCTCCCTCCTAGGAGATGAACATTCAGCAGCTCACCACCTACAGGAAGAGTGTCATGTCCTTGGCTGAGGCAGGGAAGCTCTACAGAAAGGACCTGGAGATTGTGCTCTGCAGTGAGCCCCCCATGTAAAGGGGTGAAGGGACAGGGGCTGCTTCTGCACCTCCCCCAAATCCCGCCCCCACCATCCTGTCTCTCTAACACTCCTTCCCAGACTTCCCTCCCCTCACCCCTGTAACCTGCACACACCAGCCTGTGGAGCAGGAAAGGAGAGCAAAATGGAGAGCTGGAGAGTGGGTGGCTGATAGCGTTGTTCCTTGGAGCTGCACCAGCCCAACCCTGGCCGGATGGACAGTTCTGCTTGCAGTGGGTCACCAGCCGCGTGGGTGAGGGGTGGGGGCACAGGTGGAGCTCCCCTAGTCTCTTCGCTGTGATGCATGAGCTCCTTCGCTGTATGATTTAGGCTTCTGAGTCCAACAGAGTGGACTCTTTCCTCTTGCTGACCCTGCCCTTCGCCCCAGGCCACCACCAACCCCGAATTTCCAGGTTCTGCCCACCAGCTTGCTAACGATGTAGCTGTCTTCTCAGAGTTCCTGTGGTCGAGGGCGATCGCCCTCTTGTGTTCTTGGCTCGTGTGTTCCTTTCATCCTTGGGTTTCCTGTCTTCTTGTTTACCAAAGAAGAGTTTACAGATATAATAAAGTGGAAATGTTCTGCCGTGGACACTCACCCACTTCTTGTCGTGGGCAGCATTTCTCTGTGACAAAGGGTGGGCCTGCCGTAGGGATGGGGAGGCCACCGAGGCTACCTGATTGGGGATTAGGACCCCCGAGACTCAGCTAGGTATGTGGTGGCACATGCTAGGAGGATCGGGAGCTCAAAGGTACCCTCGGATACATGACGAGTTTGAGGCTAACCTCACAAACTGAAGTGAGGCGGAGGCGGAGGCGGAGGCTTGGTGGGCGAAGCACTTGCCTTGAGAGCACAGGGCCTGCATCCCACGAGCCCATGTCAAAACGGAGGGTGTTCGCAGCCCCAACACGGGGGAGACAGAAACAGGAGGATCCCTGTGGGGTTCTGGCCCGCCATTCTAGACCAATCAGAGACCCTGTCTCAAAGGAGGTGATGGCATTTATGAGGATGACACCTGAGGTTGTCCTCCAGCTCCATGGACACACGTGCACACACCTGCACATACATGAACACACACACACACACACACACACACACACACAGTAACATACTTTTGTAAAAGAAGACCTCAAAACACGATGGCTCTCATTCACTGTCCTAGTTTGCCTTCCTATTGCTGTGATAAACACCATGACTAAAACCAGCTCGGAGAGGAAAGGGTTTATTTGGATTACATGTTACAGTCGGTAATTGAGAGAAGTCATGGCAGGAACTGAAGTGGAGAGGTACTCGGCTCATTGGCTTGCTTTTACCTCACTCAGCTTGCTTTCTTATACAGCCCAGGACCACCTGCCCAGAGGTGACACCACCTACAGTGGTCTGGGCCTTCGCACATCAATCATTAGCCAAGGAAATGCTGCAGGATTGCCCATGGGCCAATCTGATGGAGGCAGTTCCTCAACTGAGAGTCTCCACAGGTGACTGTAGCTTGTGTCAAGCTGACAAGCACTAACCAGTGTGTTTGTCATCGATTGCTGGTCCCTACACCACGCTGAGTCATCCTTTGTTCCATATTTGTTGTGTTTCTACAGCTCAGATTATGTTGTGATAGCCATTTCTAGGTCATTGAAGGCTTGCTTAACTCCAGACAATTATGCTGAATGGGTTGCTTAGCTATCTCCTTTAATCCTTTAAGAGAGATGCTGTGATTCTAGTGTACAGTCAGGGCAACTGAGGATGAGGACTGAGGACTGGGCTTTACATCCCATGGCCAATAGGGAACAGAGCCAGAGTTTGACTCCAGTGACCTGGATCCACATTCTATACCACCTCCTCCCTTTGTAGTGGAGACACTCATGGTGTGTGGCAAAGCTTTTACTTTCCTCCTCAAAGTGAACATTGCCCAGCAATGCCTGATCAGAAGCACCCTGCTGTAAGGTCAACTTGTTCTTTGGGACCACAGAGCTGTCTGAGATCCTGGGATAGAGAGAGAACTCATTTCCTAAAGGCCATTATTGTCTAACAGATTCATTTTAATAGCACTGCTGTATTTAATCCCCAACAATTCTATGAGATAGATACTGTACAGATGAACAAATTAAGGCTCAAAGACACAGAATAGCTTGTCCAGGCTGTTACAGCTCCTAAGTGGCAGTTAGAACCCACACTTGGCTGGTCACCTGTGGAAGCGTCCTTCTGTTTAATATCCAGGAACCCATCTGGAGCAATAGACAAAGATCTAGCCACGTGAATCAGATGTAACACTCATTTCCTTTTCACCCATACCCAGCATTTCTGAGAGAACCCAACACTGTCCACAGAGCAAATGGCCCAGCACAGGGAACCACCTGACTTCCGTCCCCTCCCCTGTACCTGGCTGGGCATGTGTGGACATCTGACCCCTGCTGGGCCTGTAGGAGTCTGCTGGAATTAGAGGTTTAGACTCCTGCCAGGCAGGAGGTGTCACCGAGAGCTGGGTAGATGTATGACTTTGAGACTCGAGGGGGCGCTGTGATTGAGTTCGAATGCCGGGAAGAGCAGAAACTCGAACCTTGGAAGGAGGGGGCAGTCAGCCAATAGTGAAGAAAATACACAGAGGGAAACAAAGGTGGGGAGGTCAAAGAAGGATGAAAGGGAAGAAAAAACTGGAGGACGAAAGGGGAATGAAGGTGGAAAGGAAAGCTGGAGGGAGGGAAGAAGAGAAGAGAGAGGAGGGAGGGAGGGGAGGGAGGAAAGTGAAAACGTGGCATGAGGCAAGCTACCTAACAGCATCTTGGAGCCTCTGGTCTTTGGCTACTGTCTCCATGGATGAGGAGCCATCATCCACACTCTGTGACCTTGAGCACTCATTGCGCTGAGCTTCAGACCAAAGTCCCCACCCTGGGCAAGACGAGTGGAGCAGATGCCATAGCTTGGGATCTGTGGGGCATAGAACTGGGTCCTGTCTGCGTGGCTGCAGCTCTGCACCTGCTGCTGAAGCCCTTTGTCTGGGGCTTGCATTCTCCCATCAGAGGGAAGAGTCATGCTCTCCTGACGATGTGGTCTTTCTTGGTTGACCCAGAGCAGAAGTGTCTGTGCATCAGGACCAAAAAAGAGGGACAAGCAATCCTGCAGATGCCCAGGGCCACCTGAGGGGGCCTCAGTCTCCTCTGTGTTGAGGGGACCACACCAAAGGAACAGGGTCTGGGATAGCATTTGATTCATTTGGGCCATTTCTCTCCTGTTGTGGCTGCCTGTCAAAGATGCTTTGGGAATGGTTTGGGAGCAGGTTCACCCTCCTTTAAATGCCATAAGAACCCTGGGGAGATGATCCTAGCTAAGCTTCATGGCCTGGAAAGGCAAGACTGCCACACCTCTGTTCTAGAAGAGAAGCTTCAAACCCCATGTAGGAAATCAGCCATAAAGCAGCCACATTCACACTCAACCTTAAAGACATATCTCTCAGCATGTTTCTCTTTTGAAAGCTTATCAAAAGACTGGTACTGATCCATATAACTCTATTGTAGAGGGGAGCCCTGAGAATAGGGCTCACCCTGGGACTCTCCCAGCCACTAGGGCACTAAGATTCTCTGAAACTGAGGGCATAGCTCAGTAGTAGAACAGTTACCTAGCATGCATAAGACCACCCTAGATCAATCCCCCAGCAACACTGAGGAGAAAGAGAGAGAGAGAAAGAGAAAGAAAGAGAGAGAGAGAACCTTTTCTGTTGTTTATGGTGTGTCCCCTGGGAGAGATAATGTATTCACATGTTAATGGTATTTTGAGGGAAAGCCTTCAGAGGTAATTAGGATCAGATAAAGCCATGAACAAGGAGCTCTGTGATCCAAGAAGAGGAGGAGAGGGGTTAGGGAGACGGGATGGCTCAGCTGGGGAAATTTGTGTCCATAAGCATGAGAGCCTAAGTTTGGATCCCCAGCACCCACATCAAAAGCCAAGCTCAAGTCTATAATTCCAGAGCAGGGGAGGTGGAGACAGGCTGGAAGCTTGCTGGCCAGCCTGTCTAACTGAATCAGCAAATGCCAGGTTCAGTGACAGACTTTGTCTCAAAATAAATAAGAATAACAATAATAGTAGTGGTATTAATAACAATAATTATGTGGAGAGCAATCAAGAAAAATAATGTTAACATCTGGCCTCCATGTGCACATGTATAGACATGCATACATGTGCACACACATGAACACATACACCACATCCATTTAAAACAAAACAAAAAACAAGGGAGACCCAAGGGGCATACTTGGTGTGTCTTGGCATCTGGTGCCTTCCACCATGTTGTACAGTGAGAAAGTCTTCACCAGATGCCTCCAGAACGATGAGTTAAATATATCTTTTCTCTTTACAAATCACCTAGTCTGTGGCATTGAGTTATGGCAACAGAAAATGGACTAAAACATTTTCTAACAATTTCCTCCAGACAACTAACTCCCAACTTTCCCAGCTTCTAACACAGAAGTCAACAGCAACTGCCTCCCAGGGGACAGAAAAGGACGCAGAGGCTTTGACTCTATTTAGGAAGGGAGGAGGAGAAGAGTGGTACTCAGAACATCCCACACTAAGTGGCAGTTAGTTGCATCCATGGCACTCAAGGTCAAGGTGGGAATGTTTCTAGTAGAAGACACATCACCGAGAAGAACTCTGTAATGTGAAGACTCAATATGGTTCTTTGTCTGAAGAAAATGCTAACCATCTATTCTTCTGACAAATGAGAGACTGTGAGAAGACAAAGACATTGGGGGACAGGTCTGGCAACTGGAAAAGCACGGCTCTGACCACTCAGATGATTCCACAGTGGGATTTCCTTTGGTGTGCTCTGGTGCCCTTGAACATGTGACCTGTTGGCATTGGCACCACCACTTCCTCTGGGAACCACTGGCTGGCATCTCAGTGTCTGGGTTGGAATAGGCATCATGTGTTTGCTCCATTGTCTTCATTTAACACACATTTATCGAGTCTCTTCTTGATGTATATATTCAAAGATAGAATGAATGGGAATAATATAATAAAGAATGTATGGAAACCATAAGTGCTGTGGGATGGTCTGTATGTCAAATGTGTTGCTGATTGGTCAATAAATAAATCACTGATTGGTCAGTGGCCAGGCAGGAAGTGTAGGCGGGACAAGGAGGAGAATAGAGCTGGGAAGTGGAAGGCTGAGAGGGGGAGACACTGCCAGCCGCCATCAGGACAAGGAAGATGTAAAGTACCGGTAAGCCACAAGCCACGTGGCAAGGTATAGATTAATAGAAATGGATTAATTTAAGCTGTAAGAACAGTTAGCAAGAAGCCTGCCACGGCCATACAGTTTGTAACCAATATAAGTCTCTGTGTTTACTTGGTCGGGTCTGAGTGGCTGTGGGACTGGCGGGTGAGAGAGATTTGTCCTGACTGTGGGCCAGGCAGGAAAACATTTAGCTACACATAAGAGTTTTAAAGAAAAGGTAAACATGGAAAAGGAGGGGTGCTGTCTGAGATTCTCTGTAAGGGGGAATATTAAGGCAGACACCTAAACAACGTGAGAGTGAACTGCATGAAAGGAGAGAAGCTTCTTCCTGTGCTATGCCTAGGAAACAGCAAGTGCAAAGACACTGAGGTGGAGTT